CCATAAGTTTTGGTATGTTCTTACATTATTTTCATTCTCTTTGATGAAATTATTGATTGTTTCTATGATTTGTTGTTTGATGCATTCATTCTTTAGGATTAGATTATTTAGTTTCTAATGAGTTGTTAGCCTATCTTTCCATGGCCCTTTATTATATGTAATTTTTATTGCATTGTGATCTGAAAAGGATGCATTCAATATTCCTGCCTTTCTGCATTGGATTGTGAGGTTTTTATGTCCTAATACATGGTCAGTTTTTGTGTAGGTGCCATGTACCACTGAGAAAAAAGTATATTCTTTTCTATCACCCATTCAATTTTCTCCAGAGGTCTACCATATCTAACTTTTCTAAAATTCTATTCACCTCCTTAACTTCTTTCTGGTTTATTTTGTGCTTAGATTTATCTAGTTCAGAGAGGGTGAGGTTGAGGTCCCCCACTAGTATAATTTTGCTGTCTATTTCTTTCTGTGACTCACTTAACTTTTCCTCCAAGAATTTGGATGCTATACCTCTTGGTGCATGTATTTAGTATTGATATTACTTCATTGTCTATGATACCTTTTAACAAGATGTAGTTTCCTTCCTCATCTCTTTTTATTGGATTTATTTTTGCTTCTGCTTTGTCTGAGATCGGGATTGCTACCCCTGTTCTTTTTTTTTTTTTTTTTTACTTCAGCTGAAGCATAATATATTCTGCATCAGCCTTTTTGGTATCTCTCTGCTTCAAATGTGTTTCTTGTAAACAACATATTGTAGGATTCTGTTTTTTTGATCCACTCTGCTATCTGCTTCCATTTTATGGGAGAGTTCATCCCATTCACATTCTCAGTATTTCCTTCCATCCTATTTTCCCCATATTTACTTTTCTATCTCCTTTTACTCTGCTCCTCCTCACCAGAGTTTTGCTTCTGACCACTGCCTCCCTCAATCTATCCTCCCTTCTCTCAGCTCCCCCTTTTCTTTCCCCTTTCTCCTCCTCCTTCTACTCTCCCTTCTATCAGCCTTCCTTTTGCTTTTGTTTTCTTTTCCCCCTCCTACTTCTCTATAGAGTAAGACAAATTTCTATACCCAATTGAGTATTATGTTATTCCCTCTATGAGCCAAATCTGAGGAGAGTTAAGGTTCAAATAATGCTCACCCTCTCCCTTCTTTCCCTCTACTATAATAGGTTTTTTGCTCCTCTTCATGTGATGAATTTACCCTGTTCTGCCTCCCCCTTTTCTCTTCTCCTAGTACAATCTTTTTTTTTACCCCTTAATTAATTTTTTATATTATCATATCAAAGTCAACTTCTATGCATATCTTCTATCTATGTATACTCCTTCTAACCACCCTAATAGAGATATAGTTCTCAAGAGTCACGAGTATCATTTTCCAGTGTAGGAAAACACTTTAATTCTTATTAAATAACATCTTTTTTCTTTCCTGTTTACCTTTTTATGCTTCTCTTGAGTCTTGTATTTGAAGATTAGCTCTAGTCCTTTCATCAGGAAAGTTTGAAAGACATCTATTTCATTGAATGTCCACCTTTTCCCTGAAAGATTATACTCAGTTTTGATGGGTAGTTGATTCTTGGTTGTAATCCAAGCTTCTTTGCCTTCCAGAATATCAGATTTCAAGCCCTTTGATTTTTTAATATAGAAGCTGCCAAGTCCTGTGTGATCCTGACTGTAGCTCCTTGCTGTCTGCACTGTTTCTTTCTGGCTGCTTGCACTATTTTTTTCCTTGATCTGGATAATTCTGGAGTTTTCATTTTGGGATCTCTTTCAGGAGATGATCAGTGGATTCTTTCAATGACTATTTTACCCTCTGGTTCTAGGATATCAGGGCAGTTTTCCTTGATAATTTCTTGAAAGAAGCTATTCTGACTCTTTTTTTTTCTTTTTAAATCATGGCTTTCATGTAGTCAATAATTCTTAAATGATCCCTCCTGGATCTAGTTTCCAGGTCAGTTGTTTTTCCAATGAGATATTTTACATTTTCTTCTATTTTTTCATTCTTTTGATTTTGTTTGACTGATTCTTGATATCTCTTAGAGTCATTAGCTTCCTCTTGTCTCATTCTAATTGGTAAGGAATTATTTTCTTCAGTTAGCTTTTTGTCTCCTTTTCCATTTGGCCAATTCTATTTTTTAAGGAATTGTTTTCTTCAGTCAATTTTTGTGTTTCCTTTTCCAAGCTGTTCTCTTTTTTCATAATTCTCTTTCTTAACTCTCATGTCTTTTCCCAGTTTTTCTTCTATCTCTCTTACTTGATTTTTTTAAAAGTATTTTTTTTGGGAAGGGGCTCCACTTAACAATGGAGTTGAGTGACTTGCCCAGGGTCACACAACTAGTAAGTATCAAGTTTCAGAGGCCACATTTGAACTCAAGAGCTCCTGACTCCAGGGCCAGTGCCCTATCCACTGTGTCATCTAGCTGCCCCTCTCTTACTCGGTTTTAAAGATCCTTTTTGAGCTCTTCCAGGAGGACTTTTTAGGCTTGAGACCAATTCATATTCCCCTTTGAGGCTTCATGTGCAGGCATTTTGACATTGTCCTCTTCCGACTTTGTGTTTTACTCTTCCCTGTCTCCATAGTGGCTTCCTATGCTCAGGGCTCTCTTCTGTTTCTCACTCATTTTTCAACCTATTTTGTGACTTTCAAAGTTGAGCTTTGCTCCTGGGGCATAGGGAGTGCTATCCCAAGCTTCTCATGCTGGAGGCCAGGGGCTTGGTCACTGGCTTTCCGCACTGGGGCCTCAGGTGCTTGTGCCTTGCCCCCTGTGCTGGGGGTGGCCCAGCCTAGTTGTGGCTGTTGCTACAGTTTCCCTTCTGTGATGAGGCTGGGAGCCTCACTGCTGGCCTGCTGAACCAGGTCTGAGGGTCCTCAGTTGCTGCTCCGTGCTCTGTCTGAGAGCCTCCCAGTGACTTGCCTGGATGCCATCTGTGCTGGACTGCATTCCACTTTTACCCAAGTGAGACAGACCTTTCCTGACATCTTTCTAAGTTATCTTAAGCTGGCAAATTGTTTCACTTCATCTTTTTGTAGGGTCTGTCACTTCAGAATCCAGTTAGAGGTTTCATTTAATGTTGTTTCTGAGGGAAACTGGGGAGAACTCAGGCAACTTCTTGGCTTCTCTCTGTCATCTTGGCTCCACTTCCTGTCAGTCTGCTCTTTGAACACTTCCATCCCTTGCATAGATAAGTCTCTATTGTTATTGTTGAGTCATTTCAGTCTTGTCCAACTTTCTATGACCCCATTTCATTTTTTGTTCTTTTCTTTTTCAAAGATACTAGAGTAGTTTGCCATTTCTTTCTCCAGCTCATTTTACAGATGAGGAACTGAGGCAAAAAAGGTTAAGTAGCTCGCCCAGCTAATAAGTGTCTGAGGTCAGATTTGAACTCAGGTTGTCCTGACTTCAGGGCTGGCACTCTATCCACTGTACCACCTAGATGTGAAACTCTATTATCTTGGATGTTAGTTGACTCATTACCAGGGGGTGGAGGGAAGGGTGTCACTAAGTTACTCCTGGTGGTGCATTACCCAATGGCCACACACCCAGACTCAGCCTCCTCTTTTCTGCCTAGGTCACATCCAGCAGGATGGTAGATGATTTACTCATTAGGTCCCACCAGCTAAGGAAGAGCTGATACCAACTTGGATGTATTGATTCCTGCCAGCCGTGTCCTGACAGTCCAGCTGGCATACCAGTCATCTTTAACACTGACCCTACCCAAGTTCCCACTTATTCACTGCAGAATAGCCAATCTACAGCTCAGGGAACCTATTGGGACCAACAAGCCTAAATAGTTATCACAGATAACCCTAGGTGAGGTCGAGGGAGCAATCTGGTGGAAACCAGTATGTGTTAATAAATGAATCCCACCTGAGATAGTGGGTCAGGGAACTGAGGAGGCATTGTGGACCCTGCTTACTAGAGTGTCTGCCTATAGGCTGATAGGAAAAAAATGACTAGACTTAGAAGAGAGGAGGCAAGCTGGTGGTGAGGAGAACCGTAGGCTCTGGCCTGCACCCTTCTTTGCGTTATTTCCACAGGTAACACTGGACACTAGATGGGAACTAGTTGGGATGCTCTAATTATTAATTTTGTTCCTGTTGACCTGTTTGATTCTCTACTTGACTTTCAATCTTGTCCATCCCCCATAAAATGAAGGCACCCAGATCCAGGAGCACCATGGAAGTGGTCCTGCTTTTTGCAGGGACTCTCTCAGGTTCATGTTTTCTCCCCAGATATAGCTTTGGGAAACCAACATACTCAACTCCTTCCTGCACCTGGCTCAACAAAGAATCACGGTAGCAGTTTACTTCAGCAAAAAATAGATGTCACCCAGTGCCAAAAAACACCTGCTGGGTATATCAGAAATGCCTTCCAAACCTTGCCCCTCTGAAAGATGGGTACAGAAATAATCACGTGTGCTACAATGCATTCTGTACCAGCTTACTATTTCTTTCACTGTCTGCCTTATACAGACCTCAGACGAGAGAGCTTTACTCTGCATAATGGAGTTGCTGGAGAGGGGCACTGATTGTGAGCTATTGAAAAATGGTTTTTACTGGTATATCCTCAGCACCCTATTTCAGTCTCTTGCTGGAATGATACTATTAAGGTTAACTTTTATAATTCCCTCTCCCATTTCCCTGATCTGTATTCCTCCCTGTTTATTAAGTAATTTAGAAAGTATTTTCATTTTACTGGTTCCATACATAACAGGGTTCTTTCCTATTGGTATTATGCTGACTTTTTGTCTCAAATAATATGTAAAGTCAAACTCTGAGAGTCTCAGGCTTTCAGCTGGAACAGGGATAGTCCCCACCATGTGATGCCCACTGCAGGTTTGGAGGCCATACACCGAGACCATCCCTGTTAGCAGCTATTTTTATCCTTCCCTTAAGAGTAATAATAAAGTTTGTTCATGCTATTTCTGTGTGAGGTGATACTTTTCATCTAGACTCCTCTGCACTATACACACCAGTCACTTTAGGGTGTAATACACGTTTATTTTCCATTTTAATAATGATAGGCAGTTCACCAGTAGCAGTTACACAACTACATTTTCATTGGCTCCATCACTTTTCCTAGAAAGAGAATGCTTCGAGTGACTTTATCCAAAATCATCATCAGGAAGGGCCGATTGAAAATAATCAAAGCACCGGGGTGAACTAAGCCTGACCGGAGTTCCGTCTTTATCTCTGTGGTAGCTGCAGCCTCAGTGCCCCTTTCTCCAACATCTAACGCAGCTTTGTGAACCACCTGTCAAGGAAAAGCAAATATTATGAAGTCAGTTATTACTACAGCCTTCGTCCAGCTTCACCTGCCTTCTCTCTGACGCCCTCCCTCCCCCTGACCCCACAAAGAGCAATATCCAATGGGCAGGTTCCTCAGTCTTACAAATAAACTAAACATCAGAATAAGGCAAGGATATATAGAGAGCGCTGGAATTTGAATCAGAGTATCTGGGTTTAAAAGATTATAGGTTTAGAGCTAGAAGGGGCCACAGAGGCCAGTGAATTTAGCTCCTTCATTTTACAGATGAATAAACTGAGGAAAGGTTAAGTGACTTGCCCAGGGTCTCACTAGCTAGTAACTAGTGAGTGTCTGAGGCTGGATTTGAACTCAGCTCTTCCTGCCTGCAAGTTGACTGTCCTATCCTCTACCTACATAATTCTGCTTCAGTTCACATCTCAGTTCTGCTCACCTGTGTGACCTGTGGTGAGCAACTTCCCTTCTCTGGGCCTTAGTTATCTCATCTCATCTGTAAAGTGGGGTGATGGGACTAGATGACCTCTAAGGTCCTTTCCAGGTCTGGATCCTAAGAAAAATCATGAATATAGAACAAAGGGCATAGCTAAGAGTGCATTTTTATAGAGCATAGAGTTTAGAACAAGATGGCAATGTAGATAACATCTATTCCAGCCCCTTTCATTATATGGATGAGAAAACAAATAAGAATATTAGAGTACATAGAGAAAGAGAAGAGATTTCCTCATTGTAGTATGCTATAGATCATCTGGACAGAAAGAGGAAATGTTTGAGGAAGGGGAGAAGCCTAGCACAGAGGCTTGATGCAGTAGTGATGGGAGATCTCAATCATCCAGACATTTTCCGGACCACTCTCAACAAAAGTAGAGTTGCTAATGACATCTTGCCTAGGTGCCCCTTTCCTTCTTGTAAAGGTAGAGGCACCCACGGGGAAAAATTCTATTTTGCACCTGATTCTCACTAACAGGGAGAAACTGGTCACTGGGATGGAAATGATGGAAAATCTGGGGAGGAACAACCACTCTATCCTAGAGTTTGTGATGAAGGAGAGACTAAATCTGACATGCACCTTAGATCAGAGGAAAATGAATTTCAAAAAGTTCAGATGATAGAGGGGTAGGATCCTATAGATAAAAAAAATACTTTGAAGGAAGGAAGATTAGGAGAGATGGGAGATACCCAAGAATGACACTCTGAAGACGCAAAGGAAGATATTATTTGGTGGTCATGCTGTATCAAGGATTCCTTTTTTGCATACTGTTTGGTCTTGATGGTCACTGAGCTCCTTTCCAACTCTCAAATTCTCTGATTCTGTGAAACCAAGACTCATCTAAATGATTTGTTTAGAATCACAGCAACAGGTAATAAGTAGAAGAATCAAGATTCAAACTCAAGTTTTTAGATTTTAAATGCAATTGTCTTTCTTGTACTCTAAGAAAAACATGGTCATTTGTAAAGATTATAGCAGTTTCACTGTCCTGGTCACCCTCTCCTGGATGCTCTCCAGCCTATCAATCTTCTTTCTAAAATGTGGTCTGTAAAGCTGATCAAAGTGATCTAGTTATGGTCTGTTGAAGTATGAGAACACTACGACTATATTCTCCCCCATTCTGGACACTAGCCCTCTCTTAGTGCAAACTGAGATCGAGTTAGCTTTCTTATCACTTCGTCATAATCCTAATACTTATGAAGTTTGCAGCCAATTTGCAGCCAGTTTAATGCTGGTAAATGTTTAACAACTAGCTCTAAAACAAAACAAAACAATACAAAACAAAAACCCTAAAATTTACACATTGAAGTTTAATCTACATTATTAACATTTTCAATTAACATCAACAATATTGATAACACTAATGATATTAACATTTTCTCCACAACTTTCTTAAGTCTAGAAATCAACAAAACCATAAAATAAGATATGATTTGTAGTGTTGGTCAATTTTCAAGATGTAAATGCTCCCACTGAAAATTTAACTTCAGCTTTTTTGGACTGGTTCTAGCTCTGGTTCCAGTATATCCCTGCTTACACCCCAATAAAACCTCCATGGTCTCTTTCACAGGAATTGTTGGCTATACTCATCTGATTTCTTAAACCCATGTGGAAGACTTTATGTTTTTCCTATTAAAAAGAATCTATTACAAATTGTTAACTCACATTTGAAATCTTCAGTCTGCAATGCTCTGAGATGCCAGAAAAATCTGCCTGGTTAGTGAAAGCATCTTGAATTCCCATTCCTGGGAGGATGGTTTCCAGGTTGTATGAGGCAGAAATGGAAAACTTTGGAACATACAAGTTTACTAGCCTATTAAAACAGGGAAAAAGAGATCAACCCTCCACTCTCACACGATATGCTATCCTCACCCAAACTCCTGATGTTAGGAGTCTCACTGGCAGAGGTGAGACATACTGTTGGGAATAACGGGTGTGGTGTGTAGCTCCTAAGTAAATCACCTTGCTTACAGAGATAGTGCAACCTGTTTGGGGAGGATTCTCATCTGATTTAAAGACTCCAAGATGTGAAACATGTGAAATGACAGGCGGGGGGGCATAGGAGAGGGAAAGTGTGCCTTAAATGATTAGTGGTCTCTCTACTCCCTACTACTCTGTAGCAAAGGTAGGTCTAGTAGGCAACATGCCAAATGAAGGATCAGACTTTTATGATAGATTAAATATGCAGAATGACACACAATTTTGGAGATGACCAATGTGTGAATTTGTTTTGTTTGACTGTGTATATTTGTTTTTAAAACAAACAAAATTGTTAATTTAAAAATAAATAAAATTAAAACTTATTATTTATATTATAATTATAATTTATTATATTATATTCATACATATAAAATAAATTAAAATTTAAAATTATAAATTTAATTTATAAAACTAAATAAAATAAAATAAATTTAAAATTTAAAAATAAGCCCCCATAAATTTAATATTAGAAAATTCTTGCTCTTGATGAAGTATATAGTCTTCTTTTCATCAAAAGTCCTATTGTCCCAGTGAGGTCTTTCAGGCTCTGATGTACATTATTACACAGGGTGTAAAAGTCTTTTCCTACTTCTTCCCAACCTTGTTCTTTCTTTAAATATTTTATATTGTTATAGCACTTCACAGAATGCTATCTAGTTTACAAAGCTTTTTCACATCCATTATTTTATTTGATCCTCATAACATCCCAAAGAGTCTGGAAAGGAAGAGACGGTTGTCTCCATTTGATAAAGGGACTCAATTCCTACCTATCCTTGAAGGTTTGGTTCAAGTGCTAGCTCCTCCATTAAAAGTCTTCCGTATTACCCTCAGTAGGAAATGCTTTCTGCTGATGGAGACCTCACAAAATCCTTTATTGATGCCTTATATATTATTTTGTTTTATAGTTCTTTCATATGTCATATATTCCTATTAGGCTATAAGCTTCTTGAGAAAAAATTATTAAAAAAAATTTGTTTATTAAACATTATGTGCTAAACACTGTAGTAAGTGCTGGGGATTCAAATACAAAAGTGATACAATTCTTGTCCTCAGTGAGCTTATGTTTTAATAGGAGACAACACATTTAAGGAATGGTCACCAGGAAGCGGTGTTTGAAGACACATTGCATTTTATTCACTCTTTGACTCTCTCCCAGTGCCTAGCATGTGGTAGATGCTTAATATGTATTTACTATTGTATCATAGTCTTTCAGTATGTAAGTCATGCATAACTGTAAACACGGAGTAAGAGTGTCTACTTGGGTCAAAACCCTATGCTTGATTGGGTATATACAGATGAAAGGAATTGCATATTGCTTGACTTTAAAGAAATGACAGAGAGATGAGAAACACACTTGGATAACTATAATAGTAGTTAAGATGAAAAAAAAAAAAACACAGAACGGGTCAAATAGAAGCAGTAGAGCTAGGTCTGATCTCAAGTCCTTGGATTCTAAATCTAGCCAGAGTAGAGAATGATACTTCCTTTAGGGTCATATGTAGTAAAATTTTATGCCTGGATAAAAGGACCATAGATTAGAGTTCAAAGGAATACTAGATGACATCAAGTCCAATTTTCTCTCATTTTATAAATGAGGAAACTGAGTCTCAGAGAGATGCTGTGACTTTCCCAGGGTCACAGAGCTATTAAGTGTCAAAGGCAAAATCAGAACCCAGGACTCTCTGAATCCACTATGTCACAATGACTCAGTATGAAAACTGGGACTCATTTATGTGGCTAACTCAGGCAGTGAGTTTCTAGATTAGGCTGACCAGGATAGAAAGCATGAATCCTCGGGTACTTAGGTATTACTTCCCAGATTGTCCCTTCCAGTACTGGCACTTATGTCCTAATGAGAACTGCTTCATCTTTAGGTTGTTACCCTTTCTGGAGCAAGTCGTTCCATCTCCTCAGGGTTGTTGACATTAGAGTGTCCTCCAGTGGCTTCATCTGGCCTTGGTCAGGAAGGACAAAAATGGCCAGTGCATTTTTACTGTAGTCCATCTGAAGCACAGTGCAGTTCAATATCTTATCCACAAAGTAAAAGTGTTCTTCCGTTTGATGCATGAAGGAAACTTTTATCACATCTGACTGGCTTAGGTAAAAGTTGCCATTTTGCTTGGTTTCCAGAGGATCAAAAGGTTTCTTCCATTTGGCTTAAGGGACAAAGAAAAGAGATCATTACATTTCCTGGGGAAGGAGATGTATAGTTCAATAGCCCAATTAGGGGAAATTAGAGTCAATGAGGGACCTTAGATAATCCTATCAAAACTACTCATTTCTTTAAAGGCTTTTAAAGATTTTCAAAGTACTTTATTTATAAGAACTCTATGAGGGAGGTGGGACATGTATTATTTTCCCAGTTTTATAGATGAGAAAACTGGAGCTCAGAAAAGTGAAGAGAGGCCCATAGCTAGTAGAAGACAGAAGCCACCTTTATCGAACCATAGGATGTTAAAATTGAAAAGGAATTTAATGGTCATCTCAGAGTTCTGGATGTATTGGTTCTGGAGGGGGAGTTGGAACACTCCTACTTCCCCACCACTGCTTTTCTTTGCCACCATTATTCAGCAGTCTCTCCTTCTTTGAAGTTTACTCCATTTATATTTATCACCCAGTCAGTTTGGGCAGCTAGGTGGCATAGTGGATAGAGTGCTGGTTCTGGAGTCAAGAAGGCTCATCTTCCTGAGTTCAAATCTGGCCTCAGACACTTACTAGCAAGTCACTTAACTCTGTTTGCCTCAGTTTCCTTATCTGTAAAATGAGCAGGAGAAGGAAATGGCAAATCACTCCAGTGTCTTTACCAAGAAAAACCCAAGTGAGGTCACAAAGAGTTGAACGTGACTGAAAAATGACTGAATAACAGCAAAAGGTCATTCTTCATCTTTTCTCATGGAGTTCAATACGTTTCTCTCCATCCCACCTTCCTATCATTCTATTATCTATACTTTCCATTCACAGAAGCCAAACTCCTGAAAAAAAATCTGTCTGCATCTGTTGCCACCACTTCCTGTCCTACCTTTTGCAATCTGATTTCTGACCTTATCACTCAAATTAAACCACTCTCTACAAAGTTACCAATAATCTCTTAACTGCCAAGAGGGAGAGTTTTTTTTCCTCAGTCTTGACTCTTCTTGATATCTTTGTGTTGTTGGACAGTGTTATTCTCTGGGTTTTCATGACATCTTGGTTCTTTTCCTCCCTGTCTGATTACTCCTTCTTAGTCTCTTTTGTAAGGTCTTCATCCATAACATGCCCTATAACTGAGGGTGTGCACTAGGATTTGTTCTGGGCTGTTTTCACTCTATACTCTCTCTTTTGGTGACCTCATCATCTGCTGTGGATTGACTTATCTCCTTTATGCAGATGACTCCCAAATTTATATATCTGATCAATCAGTGAGCATTTATTAAATGCCATGCACTGTTCTAGGCAATGGGGCTACAAATACTAAAAAGAAAACTATCCTTCTCTCAAGGAACTTGTACTAAGGGAAAATAAAATGTAAATAATTATGTAGAGAATATATACATAAATATTATATTATATTATCAGGAAACTAAACTTGAAATCCCCAATTATCTATGTAAAGGTTCTTACCTTTAAAGAAAATAAAGTTCACTAGGATCATATAAGTATTAGGTACAAGATCTTTGATCAAGTCTATAATTTTCCCCTTGGTCTTCTTCTTCACGTAATTATTGATCATCTGTTCAGCTGCTGAAACATTTGAGAAGTCAGTAGAAAAGACCTCTGAATCATATAGCTTCTGGACATCAGCTGTGAACTGGGTGAGAATTTTCACCTGCTTTTGGATGAAGAGGGCATTTCCTGCCTTCAATTCAAGTTCCTTGTTAGGGAGATTCAGGGTGTTGATAAGGTGGTGGAAACCCTGGTGGATTTCCTCTTCTTTCATCTCTGTAAGGTTGAAGCCCAGACACTCTAGGATCTGAGTCTTTGTATCTGATCGGGCCCCAAGGGACATCATAGCAAAGGCTGAGGACACACTCACTGGAGAGAAGAAAACATTCTTCCCAGTGTTCTCTAAGACCAGCTGCCTATATAAGTTGAATGCAAAGTCGGCATTATTGGTGGACATCTTATAGAAGGTTGAGTTCCTTGTGAGAGAATGGTTGACTTCATTACCTTTACCTTCATGCTCAGTACCAGGAAAACAAAGAACAGTAGCATGAAGTCCAACAGCTATGAAAACTATGTAGAAGGAAGATGGCATTTTGCTAGAAAATATATCTGCAGAGGATGAAAGAATAGGAGAGAGATTATCTGGTTGTCAGAAACAAATCAGTGATTCCACATTCAACGCAATGCGATCCAATAAATCCTTATTAAGTGACTATTATGTCCAAAGTCCTGTGCCCTGTGCTGGAGAAACAAGGAGGAGAAAAAAAAATATAGTTCCTACTCTGTAAGGAGTTGACAATGTAATGGAAGGATAAGACTTTGTTATCTGGCATTGTGGTTTCCTCTTAATAGATTCATAGTCTGTAGTGAAGCATAAGGATTCAGATGACAAACAGAAGAATTGGTGCTGTTCTTACATGCCTCTGGGGGAGGACAGTCTATTACACAGTCTGATTTGTTACATGGTCTTCCCTTTTCCCCCTAAAAAGCAAGCAAGCAAACTGCCCAGTGATTAGTTATTGAAATTCCACTATTGCTAATCCATTCACTTGGACTAAGTATTGACCTCCCTAAATACAAATATGTAAGTCCCTGTCACCGGTATGAGTGACAGGGTCACTGATTCAGAGTATTTAATAGCACAATAAGGACACTTATTGTGTTAGATGCACCCCCCTTTATTTTCTTGAGGAGGAAACTGAAGCCCACAGAGGGAAAGTGCCTTGCTAAAGGTCACGCAACCAGTTTATGGCAGAGCCAGTTCTAGAATATGAGTCTGGAGATTCCCTATATGACTATAGTTTTCTTCCAGGAAGTATGGAGCAAGGAGGAAATGCTGGGCCTCTGAAGGGAAAGAGAGCAGAAGAATTTAAAAGGGAAAGGAAGTCTATAGATGAAAGAAAGCAGGATGGAGGCTTTGAAGGTAAATTCTCCTAATTCAGCTCCTCATGGATTTAGCAAGCTGTATCTAGTGCCAGACCAAACAAGCCTTGCTATGATATATATTATTTGTCAGCTATTATTGTAGGGCTGGCCTCTCACCCTAATTCAGTGGTTTCCAAACAGGATATAGGGACACTTTACCCCTACTTTTTTTTTTTTCAGAAAAAATATTGTGTTCCTTTACAACTTAAGACCATTTACACAAATAGTTTTCCTAACTTGTGTTTTGTTAAAATAAAAGAAAATAATTTATTATAATTTTTAACAGAAACTATACAAACATACAGTAAGGTAAGCCTTAACTCATTTATCAATAATCTAGGTTTGTGGAGTTTTCCTTCCATACACACAAGTCAAAATTAAAACAACCTTGAGATATCATTTTATACCTACCAGATTGGCTAAAATGATAGAAGGGAAAAGTGACAAATGTTGGAGGGGATGCGGAAAAATTGGGACACTAACTCACTATTGGTGGAATTGTGAACTGATCCAACCATTTTGGAGAGCAATCTGACATTATGCCCAAAGAGTTATTAAACTACCTATACCCTTTGACCCAGCAATATCACTACTTGTTCTATTTCCAAAGATGATTAGAGAAAAAGGAAAAGAACTTAAATGTTCTAGAATGTTTATAGCAGCTCTCTTTGCAGTGGCAAAGGACTGGAAATTGCAAGGATGCCCATCAATTGTGGAATGACTGAACAAGTTGCGGTATGTGATTGTGATGGAATACTACTGTGCTATAAGAAATGATGAGCCTGAGGATCTTAGAAAAACATGGAAAGACTTGCATGAAGTAATGAAGAGTGAAATGAGCAGAACCAAGAGAACATTGTATAGAGTAACAGCAATATTGTTTTAAGAATGACTTTGAGCGAACAAGTTATTTTGACTATTATAAATACCCAGATTAAGTATAAAAGATATGTAAAGAAAGACTCTATCTGCATCCAGAGAAAGAACTGATAAATAGATGTACAGAATAATTATATATATGTATATGTATACATATATATATACACATGTATATGTATATATGTCTGTATATACACACACACCTATTTGCATCTAATGGTAGCCATTTCTAGAGTGGGAGGCTACGGGGTGGGGAGAGAGAAGAAAAAAAGGAAAATAAAAGAAATTTTACATTAATTTTGTTGTATATTTGAAGGGAATAGCAAGTTGGGCATAGCAGATTTGCAGTTTCATGTGCAATCATCTTTTTTATTTTACTATGTTATAGAAATGCTTGTTTTATTCCATAAATTAAAATAAAATAAATTTAAAAAAATTTTATATTTACAGAAGAATTTTTACTGGATTTATTTGTTGAATTGAAATAAAACATTTAAAATGGTTTTTCCTAAAAAAAAAATACCTCTGTGCCTTCCTAGATGGTCTTCATTTAGTTGTTGTGACCTCAAATATTCCTTACCTAGTGGCCAGCCCTCTAGTGATTAGTGTCTCCACAGACACACATTCTGTCAGGCCTGTCCTAGAAATGTTTCCAACGTCATTGTACCTGCTGGAGCTCATGCTTCTTTTGGCAGAGAGCCCAGATTTAACCCTCGGAATAAAATGGGATATCTGAGGAAAATATTAGAGTAGGAACACTGAAATATAGATTATTAGAATATTGGAACCATTAGAGGTCTTAGAGTCACAGAGATATATAGAATGTCAGAGCTGGAAGGGATCTTGGAATATAGAAGGCACTAGTGGTAAAGGACCTCAAGTGGTGATCCATTGTACTACCCGCATTTATAGGTGAGGAAACTGAGGCCTAGAGACTTGCCCAAAGTTACAGAACTAGGTAGTAGATGAGTGAGGACTAGAATCTAGTTTGATTTATTTTCAATTCATTGCTTTCTTCATGTCATAGGGACCCATAGGAATGTATTTTCCATCTAACTATGTTTTCCATGATGCCTAATTAGAATTACTAGGACTGAATACCATGACTGAAACATTTGCCTGGGCACAAAGGACTTTACCATCAGGAGAATCAGAAGAAAGGACAAACACTTGATGTGGCACCATCTAGGAATATACAGGCTTCGCCTATTCCTGAGACTATATGAGGAAAGGGGTTCCTAGTTCCTCTGGGTGGAGAGCCTGACAAGAGCCATCTGATGTCATAAGGTATAGTATATTGAGAAATGATGCCTGTAGTGCAGGCCATATTCACCAGACTCCAGAGATTGAAGGAGGAAACCCAGGAACTCAACTCCTCATGGATTTCACCAAGCTGTTATCCAGTGCCAGACCAAATAAGCCTTGCTACAATCTGTCATCCTTGTCAACTACTAAGCTAAGAGGGGCTATCAAAGAATAGCTCTCTCCTCACCCTCTCTGGCTCCCCAGAAGGACTGGCCTCTCATTCTAATTCAGTATATTAAACATGATATAGTGACACTTCACTCCTACTTTTTTTTCCATGAAAATTTGTCATGCTCCTTTACAATTTAAGACCACCTACACAAATAGTTTTCTTAGCTTGTATTTTATTAAAATAAAATGAAACAATTTATTATAATTTTTAACAGAAACTATTTAAACATAATAAATTAAGAAACGTATTTAAGTATTGGCAAAATCCTTAACAATCTTCACATTTGTAATTTATGAAACTAACAACCATAACAGTATTATTAATGTGATGGATAAACTTGAGTTTGCACAGATTTTGAGAAAATATGGTGGTGAGTGATGATATTACTATTTGATTCTTTTTCAACCACTAATTAAAACTGATATGTTGTCTCTATAACTATGATAGCAGAAAACTTGGATCATTCACATATAAAATGCTTCAAATTTTAGCAAGATTTAAATTGCTTTGTTTAATAATAAGTAGAGAATTCTATTTATCGTAGTTAGTCAATAAACATTAAGTACCTACTATGGGCCAGGTAAGTGCTGGGGATACAAAGGAAGACAAAAGACAGTTCATGCCCTCAAGGAGCTCACAATCTAACAGGGGAGAAAACAAGCAAACAAATATGTACAAACTATATTATAAGGTAAATAGGAAATAGTTTAAAAAGAGAAGGCATTAGAATTAATAGGGCATCTGAGTGGTACAGTGGATATAGAGTGCCAGGCTTGGAGTCTGGAAGACTCATCTTCCTGAGTTCAAATCTGGCCTCAGACACTTATTAGCTGTGTGACCCTGGGCAAGTCACTTAACCCTGTTTGGCTTGGTTTCCTCATCTGTGAAATGAACTGGAGAAGGAAATGGCAAACTATTCCAGTATCTTTGCCAAGAAAACCTCAAATAGGGTCACAAAGGGTCAGACATAACTGAAAATAACCGAACAACAACATTAGAATTAAGAGGGGTTGAGAAATATTTCCTGAAAAAGATGAGATTTTAGTTGGGACTTGACAGAAGTCAGGGAAGTCAGTAAGGGGAGATGAGGAGAGACAGCATTCCATGCATGGGAGGCAGCCAGAGAAAATGCCTGGAGCCAAGAGAGAGAGCATCTTGTTTGTGGAACAGCCAAGAGGATCAGAGAGTACATGGCAAACTCTTTTGAGGGGTAACTAGTTTCTTTTAGGAGGTTTTTTAAAAGTTGTATTTTTTTTGTGAAACCAACTTATTGCCAAAATGAATAATGTAGAGAAATATAACATATCATGACAATTTTAACTTCCACTAAAACTGTTTAGCTTCACATTGAATACTTCGTGCTCAAATGCAGCAAATAGATTATATTAATGGAACACATCTACATTATGAACCTATGTGGACTGATTGTGGTAGATCATTCCCATGTCAAAATTTGGCACATGCTGACTCAAATATGATTTTATTTTTGTATACTGAGCCCTTTTCAGGGCTGCTCATTCGCCTTTGGTGTTCACCTTTCACCCAACTCTCATCTAAGAAGATGCAGCATGCATAGAGGCCACACCCCAGTAAAACTATTTCAGCAGCTGCGGCAGCAAGGTGGCACAGTGGATAGAGCACTGGCCCTGGAGTCAGGGGGACCTGAGTTCAAATCCAGCCTCAGACATTTGACACTTACTATCTGTGTTACCCTGGACAAGTCACTTAACCCCATTGCCTAGCAAAACAAAAACAAAACAAAACAAAAAACAAACCCTAAAAAATAAAACCAACAAAAACTGTTTCAGCAGATGAGCTAAACCAGGTT